AAAACATATATATGTAAGACATACATATATATAAAACATATATATGTAAGACATACATATATATAAAACATATATATGTAAAACATATATATATATAAAACACATATATGTAAAACATATAGGAGTCCCTGGATGGCGGAAATGGTTAACCACCTGACTACTTGCTGAAAGGCTGGTAGTTCAAACCCACCCAGAAGCACCTCAGAAGACAGGGCTGGCAATCTGCTTCTGAAAGGTCACAGCCTTGAAAACCCTGTGGAGCAGTTCTACTCTGCACACACAGAGTCGCTATGAGTCAGAATCAACTCGACAGGCAACCAACAACAAATATATACAGTAAAACCTGTGAAAGTCGGAACCTGTATAGGGCGGAAACTTGTCAGAGAAGGAAAATTCAAACATTTTCCACTAAAATGAGCAATAGAAAAGTGGTAAGACTGCACCCTGTCAAAGGCAGAAAACTTGCAAAACCCAGAAAAACAAGGTAATCCTGTCAAGTTCTGGTTGTCACAGGTTTCACTATACATATAAATAATAATCTATCTCCTATTGATTCTGTTTTTCTGGAGAACCCTGACTGATAACAGGACAGATAGTTTTTCAAAATTCTTTTAAGAAGTATGCAAACAAAATGCTTTAAGACTGCAGCTTTAGTGGATAGCGATGGTTGTTATCTGAAAAGCCTACCAATGTTTGCAATTCTGCCTATTAGCAAGAGGTGAAGTCTTGATTTCAGAATCACCTCCATCCTTAAAGTAACATACAGTACTGATTTTCCACTGATTTTATTTTCCTAACATCTACACTTTTGCCATTATTATAAACATTAAACATAAATCAACATAAAGCAATTCTATTTCCTCCATTTGCAATTAAATCATTTTATGAGGCCCTACCAAAGATCCTTGAGTTTCATAGCACCATCATCCTTAACATATTTTATCAAGAAAGATACATCACAATGAACTCACTTTAATGCTGACAGACTGTCTATTTTTCAGACCATTATTGTTGATGATTTTCTTCTGACTATCAATGGTGTACGGAGCTTGTACGTGGGGGGTAGAAGCAGCAATAGTGCAGTGGTAAAGAGCTAGACTTGAATTTGAAACCCGGCTTTATCATTTATTAGCTGTATGACCTAGGGCATAGCACTTGATCCCTCTGTGCCTCAGTTCCCTTATTTTTAAAATGGCACTGATAACAGCACCTATGTCATAAAGTGATTGGGAAGGTTAAATGAGTACATTTATAAATATTGTTTAGAACAGTGCCTGGAGTATAGTAAATGCTATACAAGGGTTATATATTATTAGAGAAATTGCTTAAGATATGTTTCACACCTCATTCATTCATATTTCCATCAAAGAATAACTATTATTTATAATATGCCAGACAATGGGCCTGATGATAGGGATACAAAGATAAAGAGAATATAGTCCTTACCCTGCAAAGTTTCACATTCTGCTAGGGAGGACAAATATGAAAGCAATGTGATAACATTAACAAATACATGTTTGTGTTTGAATAAATTATTTCATCTAGGTTTGAACTAAGTCGTATAGAAATGCGGAGAAGAAAATACTTAACTCTGTGTCAAAAGATCCTACTGTGACTTTTAATTCGTATTTTGAAGGATTAAAATGTAGCTCACAAGATGCATAAGGAGTGGGAGGGCAACGTACAAGAAAAGTTGTGATAAAGATCCCTGTCTTTAAGCCATACATTAAAGAATCTTAATACTTTCTTCTACAGAATACAGCTTCAGAGAGGACTAAATATAGAAACTTTCTATCCTCTTCTACGACTTTACATGCATCTCTAATTTATGACTAGAGTAAAAATATAACCCATTTTTCTCTTAATCCTATTTTCCAATCTTTACATATTTTCCCACTCTTTTCTCTTATATATAATTGCAAGTGTTAACTTCCCAGACAAAAACAAGGTATATTATTACTTTACATAGCAGCTGTTGTATTTGATCTGAAAGGTTTAAATAATAAAAGAAGCAATTTAATATTTTTTATAAAACACTTTTAAATTCTTTATAAAAAAGAAGTGTGTCGACTTATTATATAATCATAATTAGTTTCAATTTAATCTGTGTTTATCAATAATGAAAACAACTCCAAGTCAAATAACCCCATATATTATAATAAATAACTCTAAAGATAATCTTTAAATAATTTTCATGATCATTGTTTATCCCATGAACAGATATGATACACACCTGTGTCTGAAGGGCGTAAAAAGTCGGTGTCACAAGTGAAAAAGGTCTGATGGTCCTGAGCTGACAAGTTCATGTCATAGTATGTAAGTGGCTCTTTACCAGTCACCCAAGTGTATCTTTATTAAAAAAAGAAAATATTTAAATTGAACATGAAAGCTACAACAGACACTATTTTAAATAAAAGAATATACTACTGCAAATTCTATTTGAGCATGTTTTGAAAGCTTATTATAATCAGTAATAAAACAGAAAAGATAATCTATACAAATTATTTAGAGTATGATGATAAAGCATCAAAAACCAATGAAGAATAGATTATTTAACAAACAGTGGTGCAAAAATTGGGTTTGAAGGGAAAAAACAATTTGAGTTAGAGATATTAAATATACTTAAATATATTCTTATTAAATATTCTTAAATGAGTTCTTATTAAATATACTTGAATAAATTCTTACTATTAAATATACTTAAACATATTAAATACACTTAAATTCTCAGCAAATTAGAATTAAGTATTAAAATTAAAACTATAAAGAAACTGGAAGACAAGGGTCATCTAGCTCAATTGGCATAACATAGTTTATAAACAAAATGTTCTACATCCTACTTTGGTAAGTGGCGTGTGGGGTCTTAAAAGCTTGTGAGCGGCCATGTAAGATACTCCACTGGTCCCACCCCATCTGGAACAAGGGAGACTGAAGAAAACCAAAGACACAAGGGAAAAATTAGTCCAAAGGACTAATAGACCACAAGTTCCAAAGCCTCCACTAGACTGAGTCCAGCACAACTAGATGGTGCTGGCTACCACCACCAACTGCTCTGACAGGGATCACAATAGAGGGTCCTGGACAGAGCTGGAGATAAATGTATAACAAAATTCTAACTCACAAAAAAAGACCAGACTTGCTGGTCTGACAGAGACTGGAGAAACCCCGAGAGTATGGCCCCTGGACACCCTTTTAACTCAGTACTGAATTTACTCCTGAGGTTCACCCTTCAGCCAAAGAGTAGACAGGTCCATAAAACAAAATGAGACTAAATGGGCACACCAACCCAGGGGCAAGGACGAGAAGGCAGGAGGGGACTGGAAAGCTGGTAATGGGGAACCCAAGGTCGAAAAGGGGAGAGTGTTGACACGCCATGGGGTTGGTAACCAATGTCACAAAACAATATGTGTATTAATTGTTTAATGAGAAACTAATTTGCTCTGATAAACCTTCACCTAAAGCATAATTTAAAAAAAAAGGAAGAAAAAAAATTCCAAAGGTGGAATTACTGAGTCAAACAAAGGATAAAATTTACACAATTTTGATGATAAAGAAGACAAGTACAGTCACAATACAAAAAATGTCAAAGCTGTTGATTCAAGGTAGTCAGGTATCACACACTGATGTGAGAGAATAAATTGGTATAATCTTTCTGCAGGGAAATTTGTTAATATGTATTAAAAAAAACTTTGATCTAGCAATTCCACTTTTGGGGATTTATCTGAAGGAAATACTTGGACAGGTGTGCAAGGATGTATGTGCTGGGAGGTTCAAAGAAGCATAACAGTTGAAAATAGACATAATTTAAATACCTAGCAATAAGGGATTGTTAATTAAAAAAATCATAAAACCATATGATCAAATATACAATCATTAAAAATGATGAGAATCAATACTGACTGAGAATAAAAAATATTCATGATATAGTGTTTAGTGAAAAGATCATATAGAGTATTATCCCTTTAAAAATTATATTGTGTATATATGCACAAAACAAAAGACCAGAAGGAAACACACCAGCATATTAATAGTGCTTATCACTAGGTGGTAGGATTATGGCTGATTTCTCTTTTCCATATTTTTTACACTGGATAATTATTACTTCTAAAATCAAAGGAAAAAGTCATTTAAAAGTAACATAAAAAAAGAAACTAGATGAAAAGCATAAAAGTGAAGAAAAACTATTTCCACATTTTACTAAATTAAAATTTTCAACTTTCATTCCTCCAAAACCCACAATAAGTTAATAGCAAGTTAACAAACTGGGTAATAGATATATTTTTAAATGTCCAATTTCATTAGTAATTAAAAATAGTAAATTAAAACAACTAAGTTTTACTTTTCACCTATCAAACTGTTGTTGTTAGGTGCTGTCCAGTCAGTTCCGACTCATAGCGACCCTATGTACACCGAAACAAAACACTGCCGTGTCCTGTGCCATCCTCACAATTCTTGCTATCTTTGAGCCCAGCGTTGCAGCAACTGTTGTCAATCCATTTCATTGAGGGTCTTCCTCTCTTTCACTGACCCTCTACTTTATCAAGCACGATGTCCTTCTCTGGGGACTGGTCTCTTCTGATAACACATCCAAAGTACGTGAGACGAAGATTCACCATCCTCACTTCTAAGGAACATTCTGGCTGTATTTCTTCCAAGACAGTTTTGTTCATTTTTCTGGTGTTCCATGGGATATTCAATATTCTTGGCCAACACCATAATTCAAAGGCATCAATTCTTCCATATTCATTGTCCAGCTTTCACATGCACACGAGGCAAATGAAAAATACCATGGCTTGTCTTCAAGGTGACATCTTTGCTTTTTAACACTTTAAAGAGGTCTTTTGCAGCAGATTTGCCCAATGCGATGCGTCGTTTGATTTCTTTGCCTCCATGGGCGTTGACTGTGGATCCAAGTAAAATGAAATCCTGGACAACTTCAATCTTTTCTCCATTTATCATGATGCGGCTCACCCTATCAAATTGGTGAAGATATATTATCAAGGGTGAGATGGAATATGGACTCACATGTACTACTAGTATAAATGTAAATTGCTAAGTTCTGTCCAGAAATCAATTAGGTAACAACTACCAAAGGTCTTAAAAATATTCACACCTAGCTAGAGAATGGGTACATGTGATTTCATTATTAGCATTCTCTCTACTTTTGTTTATTTTTGAAAAATTTGGTAATAAAAAAAAAAGAACAGATTAAAGGGAAGAAAAAAACCAACCTGTTAATATCCTTTGACTCAGTAATGCCAATGCTACACATTGACTCTAAGGAAATAATCACAGATGTGGCTAAATACTTACATACAAAATATCCCTCTAGTCTAAATGTTAACAGTGAAATAATAATCTTATTGACTCAAATAGAATGTTATAGGTAAAGTATGGTACCTCTATATAATAAAATATATTACAACAATAAAAAACCATGTTTTTGAAGAATATTTAAAATCATGGGTAAATTCACACAATATTATATTAAGAGTAAAAAGTATGGTGTAAAACTATATACCTTATGATGTTTGAGTTTTGTTTCTACATATGTATATAGAAAAAAGACTGGACAAAAATACTAACAAAACACTAATATTACTGCTGTGAAATGCTAATAGTAGTTATCACTTAGTGGTAGGAAAGGGTGATTTTTATTTTCTTCTTTATCCATCTGTGTATTTTCCAATTTTTCTACAAGGTATATGCATACATTTTATAATTTAAAAAAATCATTTCTAAAGTACATAATAACTGTTATTTATTTAAATGACAAAAGGTTTAAGTTATTTAATAGTAAAAATTGCCTTGCTATTTAAAAGTTTTGACCTACACCTACTCATTAATTGACATGGTCAGGTTCCAAAGACCAGGTAGTTATGCAAAAATTGGCATTATGCAAAAATGGAGGATGACCACATCAGATCACAAAATGGAGGATGACTACATCATTACATAACTGCCAATTTACATCATTTCATAACTGCCAATTTATGTCATTATGTAACTGCCGGATTACTGAGAATCATGGCCCAGCCAAGTTGACACATCACTTTAATCATCACAGCCAGCGTTATTCTCGCCTCATATCTCTGCATTCGTTAGTGCCAGATGTACATTATATGTGTGCAAAATAGTCGGATAGTAGATTTTTTACTATCGTCATAAATGGGAAATGTCAGAAAACGAGACGGTCCATAAGTGAGAAGTAGGTGTATTTTGTGAGAAATTATCAAGAAAAAAGGAAAAGCAAACCCTTGCTCACTCAGCACAGTTTTTCTATGCATTCAAAAATCATAAAAAATTTTATTAACAATCCACATTATTTCCAAAATGATTTAAAGCAGTGAAAAATATAGTGTACTATATCAATAATTTAAATTAGGAGTAAATAAAAAAGATTCAGTATAGAAAAAACAATTATTGGGACATAAAACGGAGCCTGTAATGAAGCTAACATACCAAAGAGTTCTATATACTTGTTAAGGTTTTTAAGCTTTCTAGCAACCACCCAATGATTATCAACACAATTTAGAGACTTTTATATTAAGGCAAATTGTTCAAAAAGAAGCATAAGTATTCCTGATACTAAGAAATCTCTCTTTAAGATCTTCATAAAGTGGATACTATATAATGTAATAAGAAATATCCTCAATAACTTTTAATAAACATAGTGAGAGGTTCAAGGACATGTTTCTTGAAGAATTCCTTAATAAAGATTCTCTGGTAAAAATTTAGCTTTTACTTCCCAGGATGCACAATATCAAGCCCTTAAGCACAGGGATTATTTATTGCTTAAACATTTTTATCATCATCGTTTTGCATAATGCCCACACATAGCAGGCACATAATGTTTCTTATTCAGTGAATCTACCATGCCTCAGTCTACCTCCAGGTAAAACACAGCCCTTCTCTAGATAAAACTGAAGTATCTTTGGCTACAAATTTCAAAAAATGTTTTCTCATTTAGAGTAAAAACTAGAAGAGAAATGGACATAGTAGTGTACGAAGGAAATGGCAATATAAAATATGTTGTTGTTAACTGCCATCAAGTCAGTTCTGACTCATAGCGACCCTATGTACAACAAACGAAATACTGCCTTGTCCTGTGCCATTCTCACAGTTGTTGCTATGTTTGAGCCCATTGTTGCAGCAACTGTGTCAATCCATCCCATTGAGAGTCTTCCACTTTTTTGCTAACCCTCTACTTTACCAAGCATGACGTCCTTCTCCAGGGACCGGCCCCTCCTGATAACATGTCCAAAGTACGTAAAATGAAGTCTCGCCATCCTCACTTCCAGGGAACATTCTGGCTGTTCTTCTTCCAAGAGACAGATTTGTTTGTTCTTCTGGTAGTCCATGGTTTATTCAATATTCTTTGCTGACATCATAATTCAGAGGCATCAATTCTTCTTTGGTTTTACTTATTCATTGTACAGCTTTTGCATGCATATAAGGCAACTGAAAATACCCTGGTTTGTTCTCAAGGTGACATCTTTGCTTTTTAACACTTTAAAGCGGTCTTCTGCAGCAGATTTGCCCAGTGTAATGCATCGTTTGATTTCTTGCCTGCTGCTTCCATGGGCATTGATTGTGGATCCAAGTAAAATGAAATCCTGGACAACTTCAATCTTTTCTCCATTTATCATGATGTTGCTTATTGGTCTAGTGTGAGGATTTTCTTTATCCACATTGAAGTCTGTAGTCTTTGATCTTCATCAGTAAGTGCTTCAAGTTCTTTTTGCTTTCAGCAATCAAGGTTGTGTCATCTGCATATCACAGGTTGTTAATGAGTCTTCCTCCAATCCTGATGCCAGGTTCTTCTTCATACAGTCCAGCTTCTCGGATTATTTGCTCATTTGCTCAGCATACAGACTGAATAAGTATGGTGAAAGGATACAACGTTGACACACACTCTTCTTGATTTTAAACCATGCAGTATAAAATACAATATAAAAATACTGTACCCTGCACTGATATATAAGTGAAGTTCATATTCACATTTAGAGTGATATTTTCTAATGAATCCTCAAATTGTGAAATTGAGTACACATGCATAGGAATACGTTTATGTCTATAATTTTTTTTAATCTCATGAATTCTTTGAAAAGGCTTTCTGCATAAATCAGAAGACAAATATATACTTATTATATATCACAAACACATGGTTTGAAGCGTTGCTTCTCATGATTATAAAAGGAAATACAGTCAAGATGCTACCAACTAAACCTTGGGCTAATCATTTTACCTATTATTTACCAATATCTCCAACCATAAGAGCTGTGATATATTTATAAAAACAAATGTTTCCATTATATTTTACTCTAAGACCAATGTCATGACCACACTGAGAGGAAAATGCAATACCTCCTATATTCTGCTCCTCTGAAAAGGTTTAGAGGGTTTCTCCATACCTTGCATTCTAAAAAACAAGAGGGAAAAAGGAAAAATGTGACAGTTTAATCAAATGCAGTTAAATCTTCATTTAACCAACATTTATTGTATACTCACTGTATGCTAAGCACAGCAGTAGCCACAGACGGTACAAAGTTGAATATGGCAGAGATGGCCCCTACTCTCAAGAAGCATACAATTAAATCTAGACATTCCCTTATCTCTGTCTCCATAGCATTTGGCTCACAGTTCAGTTATAGCATTTACCATATTACAGTGTGATTATCTGTTTGGTTTTTAGTTTCCCCCTTTAAGATATAATCTCTCAAAACTTTGTTCATTTTTTTATTCCTGGAGTCTAGCACAGTATCTGAAACCGACATGTTTAATTGAATTAAATGAAGCATGGGAGCTAGTCACGTAAACAACTAACCTAAACTGTGTGATAAGTGCTATAGTAGAGGTATGTTTTGTTCCAAGAGAATAAAAGGAAGCAATTAATTTTATTCTGGGGGAAATCAGGGAAGGCTTTACAAAGGAGGTGACATTTTAACTGCACTGTAAAAGATGAGAAGGAGGTTGCAGATGAAGAACATTCCAAGCAAAGAAAGTATCATAAAACCACACAACATGGTTAAGATAGGGTGTAGGGTAGGGGGTGGAAAGGAGAGTTGTAAATGAGGCTAGAAAAAAAGACCAGGGTAGATTTACCAAGGTGCTTATATACCATATTAAGGCGTTTAAATATTATCCTTAGTTAATACGCTTTACTCTGAAAACTTTCAAGCTTTAAGTCATCAAAGGTTTATAAGCATTAAAAAAAAAAAAAAAAAAAAACAGATACCAAATCTCTATTTACATTGGAAGTTTGATCAAAGTATGATTCACGGAACCCGCAAAGTAACAACTTTCTTTGTAATAAATACCAAAATCATATTTGCCTATTTATCTGTGTTGACTTGAACTCAGTTGCATGACCCTGAAAGTAACTGCTTCCTTAAATTTTGTGCTTTAGGTACCTCACTTGCCTCACCCTAGTACCAGCCCTGAAAAGCTGAACTGATGGCACAAAATTAATGGTGAGTAAACCTGCTAGTACTTTAACATAAGTCAAGCAAGTGACCAAATTGTACTAGTAGTCATTGTACTCTTCATCACCATGTCCTTGCAGTAAAACCAAAGCAAATTTCATTTAAATATCATACCAAATATGATGATACCAAAACACCAAATCATTTGCCATCGAGTTGATTTCAACTCATGGTGACCCCATATGTTTCAGAGTAGAACTGTGCTCCATAGGATTTTCAGTGGCTATGATCTTTTGGGAGGAGATCACCAGTCCTTTCTTCCAAGATGCTCTGGGTAGATTCAAACTGGTTAGTAGCTGAGCGCTTAACTGTTTGTGCCACCCAGGGACTCCTAAGTATGATAGTACCCAAAACCAAACTCATTGCCGTTGAGTCCATTCCGACTCATAGTAATCCTATGGGAAAGGGTAGAACTGCCTTATAAGGTTTCTAAGGCTGTAAATCCTTATGGAAGCTGACTGTCACATCTTTCTTCTGTGGAGAGGCTGGTGAATTTGAACCGTTAACCTTTTGGTTAGCAGCCAAGCACTTAACCACTTCAGCACCAGGACTCCTAAGTATAATGGTAGTCTCTAGTAAAAGCAATTGTTTTGTGAGCTGAACTGGCCACTTTTTTCATGGAACACCACTTTTACTTGAAAGAGCCTGAGAGACAAACGTATGGTTATTCAGACAAGTAACTGGCAGACATTGTCTCAAACGCCAATAAAGTGAGTTGGTTAACTTCATGGAAAACAACCAGTAGTATTTGTTGCAACAAAGTTTGAGCGTACAAGTGAATATTAGAATTCTGGAAAACCTGTATCTGCTACCATGAACCTGGCAACTTCCCAATACTTAAAGACTTTTCTGTGTGAGTAGTAGCGATATTAATGAACGTGATTTTTAAAATACTGTGAATAAAACATGTCAACATTTGGAAGATCTGTATAACTCAGCAAGCAAGTAATTTCTAAATGACTAATGCATAGTGTTATAAAATTATGCATAAGTAAAATATTTAAACAAAGTGTAAGATACACCAAAAGATATTAAGGTAACAGAGAATGAAAAGCTCACTGATATGGCTTCAGATTCCACACTGCAATTAACCTTTTAAGAAACTACCTTTTATGAGTAGGGGTCTTAAAAGCCTGTGAGCGGCCATCTAAGATACTCCACTGGTCTCACACCTTTGGGAGCAAGAGAAAATGAAGAAAACAAGATACAAGGGAAGGATCAGTCCAAAGGGCTAATGGACCGCAACTACCACAGACTCCACCAGACTGAGTCCAGTACAACTAGGCAGTGCCCAGCTACCACCACTGACTGCTCTGACAGGGATCACAAGAGAGGGTCCTAGACAGTGCTGGAGAAAAATGGAGAACAAAATTCTAACTCACAAAAAAAGATCAGACTTATGGCCTGACAGAGACTGGTGAAACTCCAAGAGTAGGGCCCCCGGATACCCTTTTGGCTCAGTAATGCAATCACTCCCGAGGTTCACCGTTCAGCAAAGGTTAGACAAAATGAGACTAATGGGGCACAGCAGTCCAGGGACAAGGACTAGAAGGTAGGAGGGGACAAGAAACCTGGTAATAGGGAACCGAAGGTTGAGAAGGGACAGTGTTGACATGTCATGGAGTTGTTAACCATTGTCATAAAACAATATGTGTACTAACTGTTTAATGAGAAACTATTTGTTCTGTAAACCTTCATCTAAAGTACAATTAAAAAAAAAAAGTGATTTGGGAAAAAATACAAAAAAGAAACTACCTTTTATCAAGTTTTGGTGTAGTATCAAAAAAAGATTATTCACAGTTTTCTGAAAAGACTACTAAAACACTGCTCCCTTTTCCAACTTTGTGAGACAAAGTTTCTTCACATATTTTAACCAAAACAACACATCACAATAGACTGAACACAGGAAGTAGAGTGAGAATAAGCTGTCTTCTATTAAAGAGATGTAAACAAATGTAAAACAATGCCAGTCTTCTGACTAAACTCTTTTCTGTTTTGGGAAATACAGTTATTTATATGTTAACATACTCTGGATTTATTATTGTTTTTAAAAGAATAAATTTTTTTAATATCTACATGATAAATATTGATGGATATAATCATGTAAACAAAAGCTCTTAGAGGTCCTCAAAAATTTTTAAGAGTGTAAAGGAATCCTGAATACAAAGTTTCAGAACCACTTTTTTGCATACTAAGGGGAGAGGACTTACTAGAAAGAGTGGTATCAGAGGCAGGGAAACCAGTTAAGATACCATAGCAATAGTCAAGGAAAGAGATGCAGAGGTTCTAGATAAAAGGCAATGAATATTAAAATACAAGAAGGTAGAATGGTGTTAAGATAATTTTTGAGGGGGAATCAATAAAATGTGGGGGTCAACTGTTTGGGAATCACAGGGAAGAAAGGATAAATATAAGAGAAATAATCTGAAACAACTCAAAGGTTTCTGGTATGGGAATTGGGTACCTTTAACAGATGGTAGGATTGTGGAGAGAGGACTATCAGAAGAAGACAATTAGTTCCATTTTGGACTGGGTGAGTTCACAGTGCTTAGGGCCATCAAAGGTGGAGATTCTAGAAAACAAAATGTGGGTCTAGAATTTAAGAGAGAGCATGTGGGTAAGGGTTCTCCCAGCATACACATGGTAAATGATGTTACAGAATGAGAAGCACCTACCCAGGGAGAGACTTTAGAACAAAAAGAGAACTCTGACTCACTTCTGAGGACCAACTCCAGAATCTCCTCTGTGAAACATTTTGTGACCCTCCTTCTAATAGATCATTTACTCCTTCTTTTCTGTCACTGTAATATCTTTTTTAAAAAAAAATTTTTTTTGGTGGCACTATATACAACACTGTGGTGCAGTTCTACTCTGTCCTTTAGTGTCGCTATGAGTTGGAATTGACTCGACGGTAATGGGTTTGGTTATTGCTTTGTTTTGTTTTGGTTTATATGTAACTTTGGTGCCATAGATCACTTTTGCGTAGCTTTTCTAGCCATGGTCTTGTAACTCCCACCCAAGTGACTGATATGGTAATTGTAGCCCACCAAGGGGATTGGTCAGTTTTGCCATCCTGCTGAGCTTGAAATGAGCCACCTCAGACATGGGAAAAAGAGAAAAGCCCACCACCACCAAGGAAGAACAGCCAGGAGCCAGCATATCCTCTGGACCCGGAATCCCTGCACTGAGAAGCTCCTGGAACCAGGAGACCAAGAGAGAGAGGGAGAGCAAGGTGTAACCCTGAAGGTGGTGAGAAGCAGTGGCAGGAGAGACCTGGCAGCAGAGACCCAGCAGCAGGAGAAAATGCGGTGGCTTCCCAGCCCACAGAGAGAGAAAGCTGAATGCATTTCAGCAGAGGCTGAGGGCCAGGGAGAGGTGGGAAGAGGCTGTCCTGATGGAAGAACTGTATCCTGAGTGTTCCTGAGCCTGAACTGTAACTGTTACTTCCCTAATAAACCTCATAATAGTTGAGTATCATCTGTGAGTTCTGTGTGGCACCGCAATGAATTGTCAAACCCAGCAGAAAAGTAGAGAGTGCTATGGGAGGGACAGCTGGTGCCAGAATTGGTAAAGATGGTGGAGAGAAGGGGCATGTCTGACCTCCACCTCATAGGAATCAGCCTTGGGCTGTTGATCTTGATTCTCCTTCCCCCTTGGGAGGTTAGAGGAGGTCAGACACCGCCCCCACACCATTTTTACAGCAACCATACAACCATTCACAATTTTCACACGAACAGTTCAGTAACATTGATTACATTTCACATTTTGTCATCATTCTCACTATCTCTACCCATATCGTTTCATCACCATTAATTTAGATTAACTGTTGTCAATTTAAACTCATAGATAATTCTTTATAAGAGTACTATGCTCAAGACAAATATTCTTTATTAATTGGGTTAAACTATTGTTTAGTTTAACAATGGCTTCGTGGGGTAGTTTCAGTTCAAGGTTTAGAGATTATTTCTGGGCATCAGATTGGAGGTTCCCTCAGTCTTAATGGATCCAGTCGCTACCAGAGGTGAGGTATAGGGAGGGTAGGGAAAGGGAAAATCACTCACTGGGAAGTAGTGAATTTTTGTCTAGGGTTGTGGGAAAATTGGTATCCACTAAGGGCAAAAGTTACACAACCAAACTAATGTGGCTGTTACCATTAAGCTGTACGCCAGGAAAAAGAAGGGGGCGGGGGCAAATGGCAAATAATGTGTTTCATATAATTTTAGAACTACAACAGCAGCCAAAAAAGAAAGTAAGTCTGCACCTGTTGATACTACTTAGGTGTAACTAAATACCTCACTGGATTAGTTTTCTTGGTTCGAAGGCTTAGGGTCATGGCTTTGTGGGTCTAGCCAGTCAAAGTCTGAAGTTTTTAGAGTTTCTGTTCTATCTTCTAATTCAGTAAGTAGTGCCTGAGGTCTTAAAAGCTTGCAAGTAACCACCCAAGATACAACAATTGGTCTTTATTCACCTGGAGCCAGGGCTTCAAACTGGTTGTAAACATTTCAGTCATGGCCGAGGGAAGAAAGGGCAGCGTACGTGTTGCATCGCATCCAAATCTATTGCACGGGCTTTTGATCCAAGTATGAAACCAGCAGTGGGACCCCGATACAGATGGCAGCAGCTCAAAGATGGCAGCCACTGTGCTGCTTTGAATGTGTGCTGCTCTCCACAGTTCTTCCAATAATCCAATCTCCCACATCAGGCTCCTGAAAAATTTCCTGATGCGGGAGATTGGATTATAGGCAGAACTGTGGAAAGCGACACACATTCAAAGCAGAGCAGCTGACAGTCATCTTTGAGTGGAGTACCTCTGCCTACTTCCCACTTGGGTCAAAAGCCCAGCACAAGAGATTTGGATGCTATGCAACATGCATGCTGCCCTTTTTTCCACAGCCATGACCGAACCACTTCTAACCAGATGGAAGCCCTGCCTCGGTCGGCCATGACTGAACCATTTAGAACCAATTCAAAGCCCTGTCTGGAGCAACCGAGGAAGAAGGAGACCCAGAAATCAGAGAAGGAAATGGACTGCAAGTTTAATTACTTTCATAAACTGCTACTTCCACTACCATGAGACCAGAAGAAATGGATGGTGCCTGGCTACCACTACTGAACGTTTTGATCAAGGACCCAACAGATGGCTCCTGATCAAGAGGAAAAGCGTGAAACAAAACTTCAAACTCATGGAAACCAGACTTACTGGATGATGACAGTATCTTATACTCTATAAAAGCAGCTAACCATACTCTTTTGCAGTCATTTATTTCTATGTCTGTATCATCTACCAAGCTGGAATGTCCTTAAGGTGCGCTTCATGCTCTCATTAAGCAATGGTCTTGCAATAGGGAATAGTTATATAATGCATTATTGCTATAGTTATTTATATACTGAACTCTGAGCTTCTTGAGGATAAATCTATGTCATATTCATCTTTATATATTTTCATAGTTTAAATTATGTTCCCCAGAAAATGCGTTTATCAATTTGGCCGGGCCATGATTCCCAGAAATGTGTGGCTGGCCTCCATTTTGTGATTGTAATTTTATGTTAAAGAGGATTAGGGTGGGATTGTAACACCACCCTTATCCAGGTCACATCCCTGCTCCAATGTAAAGGGAGTTTCCCTAGGGTGTGGGCTGTACCACCTGTTATCTTACAAGAGATAAAAGGAAAGGGAAGCAAGCAGAGAATAGGGAACCTCACACCACCAAGAAAGTAGTACCAGGAGCAGAGCACGTCCTTTGGACCTGGGGTCCCTGCAGGGAGAAGCTCCTAGTCCGGGGGAACACTGATGAGAAGGCCGACAGAGAGAGAAAGCCTTCCCCTGGAGCTGACGCCCTGAATTTGGACTTCTAGCCTACTAGACTGTGAGAAAATAAATTTCTCTTTGTTAAAACTTGTGGTATTTCTGTTACAGCAGCACTAGATGACTAAAACATATATCTTGTTCTTAGGAGTTCTATAATTATTTCATGTAAGGGGAAAAGGAGGAAGAAGAAGGGGAAAGAAAATTACCATTATTCCTTCCTGTACTCTTGAATAGCTGCCAACCCCATCCTCACTATTCCTGATCAATACTCACTTATGCTTCAGGACACAGCTTAAAATGGTACTTCCTCAGGGACTTTCCCTAACCACGTCTGAAAAGTGCCAGCAATTGCACTCAGGTAATATTTTTCTAACTAAACTAACACAACCCTAGTGGTTCAGTTTATTGAACAAATGAGATATTACGCCTATCTCATGGAATTAACACAGTTATAGTATTAATGGATGATTATTACCTATACCAAATGAAAGGAAAAATAATCCAAAAATATTGTTTCTATTAGGTTCTGAAATTTTTACTTCTCTAATTGTGTATCATTTTAAATAATATTAACTTTACTTTGTATTTCTAGGGACATATAGAGAAATAATCTACAATTAAAGAAAGACAATGGAATACTCATACATGAATAACTGAGATTTTGATGCCTATGTAATTATACTGAGAAGAAAAAATATTTTTCCTACTTCACTATTTTGGCAGAGATGGCTAATTGTCTCTGCTCTCCCCTTTGTCAGCAACAGATGCTCTGATTATTAGCTGGGCATATATTCACTGAAAAAATGATTATACTTCCTAGCTGCCCTTACGGCTAGGTATAGCCATTTAACAAAGGTATAACCAGTAGGAAATAAGTGTAAAGACCATGTAAAATTTCTGGGAAGTGTCCTTGGCTGCTGTGGGGGTGCAGGATGGGTATGGAGTGCCCTTCTGGCCTTCCCTCCTTCCTGCTGATTGGAATGTGGCTAGGACTGGCTGAAGTCAGAGCAACCATCTTAGACCACAAGGTAAAAACTTGATTTGAAGATGGCAGGCTAACAGACTGGCAGGAGTCTACATCTCTGATGATCATTGAGCATTCCATACTAGCCATGATTACCCATATTTACATGAAAGAGAAATAAACCTCTGTTGTTTTGAGTTTTCTAACTCCAAAAACCAAACTCAATCTTAACTATACAGCTCTGAAAATGTATTAGATAAGTAGTTACCTGACAAATTCTGTCTGCTGGTTTCACTTTCGCTGTTGCTGGAAGAAGAACCTGGCTCTGAAATGCTGCTCTCTGTTCCTCCCATCAGTGGCCGCAAATGGCTTACAGATACTTGCTCAATAAAAGATGTGCCATGCTTATGGAAGTACCACCATTCAAATATCTATGACAAACAGAAAACATCCTTTGGTTAAAATAGATTTGATCAGCAGATACGTGAGCTCAAATTAAAACATTCTCTCAAGATGGTCCTGTTTAAATCAGGAACATTTAAAAACATTTTAAATGTACTTTCCTTCCAAAAATAAGCCAAACGTAAGATTCCCCAATAAGTTATGCCAGGCAAAAGTGAAATATCTTTTTTATATTTTGTCATGAAATTTAGACAAGCTTAGGAAAAACCAGAAGAAATGCATTTGTAAATAAAACATTAAAAAACAATAAGTATTTAACCTAAAAATAATTCGACTCGGTTATGATGTGTTGTCATTTTATCCTATCTGTAGCACAAATTAAAAAAAAAAAAAATTTTGATATAACTGGCACAGTGCATGAAGCATTAGATTAGGGTCAGAATGACTGTGTTTGACTCCCAGTTCAGCCATATATTAGCTGTGCACTTTGGGCAGGTCACTTAACCTTTCAGAGCCTCATTGTTTTCAATGCATAGTTCAATGTGGTTAACAAGAATTATAAGAAAGTGCCTGTTTAGTAATAAAGTACTATTCCAGGGTTTGGGAGTATTATTAATATGGGTTGAGAGTCAGGCTGATTCCCATGTTAAACCGTTTAAAAATCAGGATATTCACCTCCTTCTATTACCATGGTCTATTACTTATAAAACGAGGGTCCAAAAGAAGCTCTCTCTGCTAAATTAACAGAATGTTTCGTATTTGGATATCTGCAACCTTCCCAACTCTCTTTGCCTGGCTAATTCCTTTAGGTTTCAGCTTAGACACTCCCTCAGTGATCATTTCCTGAGTCCACAGGACAGAATACGCAGCTGTTACACATTTCCATTGGATCTTATTTTTTCCTTTCAGAGTAATCTTTTCACTTGTAATAATTATTTTAACGACTGGTTGTGTTACTATTCCTCAAGCCCCCAAATACATTCTCTCTTCAGATAGAGATATGCAGCACAGTTCAATCCCCCATTTCCTTTAGGTATTCACAAAAAAAAAAAAAAAATCACCATTTCAATAAGGTAATCTCTTGCTCCTCTATTTAAAATTTCAACACTTTTCTCTGACACTTCATCTCTCACCTGTTTCACTTTTTTCCCCCTTAACGCTTAATACTAAGAATATACTACCTATTTTACTTATTTATCTTTTGTTATTTTATTTTTTATAATTTATTTTGTTGTTGTTGAGACTATACACAGCAAAACACATACTAATGCAATAGTTTTCACATGGACAATTCAGTGACTTTGATTACATTCTTCGAGTTGTGCAACCATTCTCATCTTACGTTTCTGAGTTGTTCCTCCCCCATTAACATAAACACACTGCCCTGTAAAGTCCCTATCTAATCTTTTGAGTTGCTATTGTCAATTTCATCCCATACAGATAGATCTTAAAAGAGCATAATGCTCAAGGCAGACATTCTTCACTAGTCAAGTTAAACTATTGTTTGGGTTTAAGAAGACTTCAGGGGATATTCTTGATTTAAGGTTTAAAGATTATCTCAGGGCAATAGTTTTGGGGGTTCATCCAGCCTCCATGGCTCCAGAAAGTCTAGAGTCCATGAGAATTTGAAATTCTGTTCTGTATTTTCCCCTTTTGATCAGGATTCTTCTATAGACTCTCTGATCAAAACATTCAATAATGGTAGCCACGCACCAACCAGTTCTTCCGGTCTCATGACAAAGGAGGCAGTTGTTCATGGAAGCAATTAGCCACACATTCCATTTCCTCCTCTTATTCCTGACTCTTTCTTCCTCTGTTGTTCCAGGCGAATAGAGACAAATTGTTGTGCCTTGGATGGCCACTTGCAAGTTTTTAAGACCCCAGGTACTACACAACTAACTAGGAGGTAGAACAGAAGCACTAAACACGTTATTAAGCCAGTTAACTGGGATGTCCCATGAAACCACGACCCTAAACCTCCAAGCTAAGGAACCAATCCCATGAGGTTTTTGGTTGTACATAAGCAGCCTTAGCAGTTACTCCTTTTTGTTGTTGTTGTTGTTGTTGTAAATATATCTATCACACAACTTTTGCCAATTCAACTTTTTACACGTGTACAACTTATTGACGACACTTACAATAATCAGCTGTGTAACCCTACCCTTAATCAATGCAATTTTTCCATAACTGTAAACTGAAAATCAGTATTCCATAAGTAATAAGCCTCCTTTTCCCCTCCCTCTTGGCCCTGGTAACCATTAATAAACTTTGGTCTCTATACATTTGCCTTTTCTTGTCTTTTTATACAAGTGTGGTCATATAATATTTGTCCTTTTGTGATTGCCTTATTTCACTCAACATGTCTTTAAGCTCCATCCATACTGTAGCATTTATCAAGGCTTCATTTCTCCTATTGGCTGAGTAGTAATCCATTGTATGTATGCACCACATTTTGTTTATCCATTCATTTGTTGATGGGCATTTAGGTTATATCTATTTATTGTGAAGAGTGCTGCAATGAACACTGGTATACAAGTCCCTGAGTCTCTGCTTTCAAGTCTTTTGGGTATATACCTAGGAGTGGAATTGCTGAGTCATATGGTAGTTCTATTTTTAGTTTTTTGAGGAATTGCCACACTGTTTTCCACAACAGCTGTACCATTCTGCATTCCCACCAACAATGGATAAGGGTTCCAATTTCCCCATATCCTTGCCAACATTTGTTATTTTGTTTTATCTTAGCAATCCTAAACAAAAAAAACCCACTGCTGTTGAGATGATCCCAACTCAAAGCGACCTTTAAGGACAGAGTGAAACTGCCCAATAGGGTTTCTAAGGCTGTAATTTTTATTGGAGCAGACTGCCACGTCTTTGTCCCATGCAGCGGCCAGTGAGTTTGAACTACTGACATTCTGGTTAATAGCCGAGGGTTTAACCACTGTGCCACCAGGGATCCTCAATAAGACGTTAGTCACTACCAAATATAGCTCTGGTTTGGCTTCTACCACGTTTTACTAAGACGTAGGATGAAATATGTTTAAAATAACCAGGGAAAATTACACAAGTAGAAAGTGTTCATGTGACAGAAAAGACAAGACTTATACTGGATCAAAATCAAGGACAGCAATCATAAGAGCAACAATAACAAACTGCCCTTTACTATATGAAGTACAGGTAGATTTTTATGAATAAATATGATCTCAGGGGCTAGTGAATTCTTTCAACTTTTTAACACAAAGGAGCCATAATAATTGCTAATACTTATCAAAAGCTTTCTATGAGCCAACCATCGTGCTAAGTCCTTTACATGCATTATGTCATCTAATCCTCGCAACAACTCATTTTACAAATTCTAAGTTTTAGTAAGCAGCTTTGGTTCATACCACTGGTAAGTGGCAGAAGTGGTATTCTTCTTCAGGTCTGACTTCAGAGCTTCTAACCACTACATTAGACTGCCTCTGAAATATACAGTGTGCATGTATATGTGAGTGCATGTTTGCGTGTGTGTGTGTTCGCACACAAGTTCAATAAGCTCAGGTGGTAAAAGAAATTATAAACCCAATAACCTTTGCTAATAAAAACCTGTCAATACTGCAAGGGTAACGACATAGTTTCACCTTTAAAATGTTACTTAGATTTTATAATTTTTATACATTTAAAACACTGTTTTAAAAATAATAAACTTTTAACATGGTTTTAGACATGTAATACACACACATACACATGCACATATACGTATGTATGTGAATTATTTCCCTTTCATAAATGAGGAAATTAAGGCTCAGAGAGTTTAAGTGACTTACCCAAAGTTAACAGCTAGTAAGTGGCAGAGTCAAGACTCAAAACCATATCTTCTAGTTTCAAGATCAGTATTTTTTCCACTCTATCAGCCATTTAAAGATAGTTTATTTTCTTTTCTTAGACTTTCACATGCTATTGACTAACAAAATATGCTTAATTATGAGTGAAATAGTAGCACATAGTTTTTGTTATGGATTGTGTCCCTCAAAGACATGTGTTGTAAATTCTAACCCCTATACCTGCGGTTATAATCCCATTTGGGAATTGATTTCTATGTTATGTTAATGAGGCAGCATTGGTGTAAGGTGTATTTTAAGTAAATCTCTTTTAAAAGAGCAGATTAAGCCAGCAAGCACATAAGCACAAATGGAGGGGAAGAGATACATGTCACATGATCACCAAGGAACCTAGGAATAGAATCTGAAAGAGACAAGGACCTTCTCCCAGAGCAAACAGAGAGACAGAGCCTTCTCCTTGAGCTGGTGCCCTGAATTCAGACTTCTACCCTCCTAAACTATGAGACAATAAAATTGTTTGTTAAAATCACCCACTTGTGGCTTTTCTGTTATAGCAGCACTAGATAGCGAAAACAGTTTTTATCCTAAATTCCTCAACAATGCCTTCTTGTAAGGCAAGAGAAAAATCCCTTTCTTGTCCAGCATTTCACTTTAACAAATTATAGTTCATCTCAATTTAAAAAAGCTCCAAGTACTGTTATTTCTATTGTAGCTGGAGAGCACCACCTAGAGATGACAAAAAGGAATGGAAAAATTCATTGGCTATGCATGCCATAATACTACTTCTTAATATTTTTATCTGTAGCAGTATTTTCCCAAAGTTTACGGTAGGAACCACTAGTTCCCAAGGATGTTAATGAAACTGATTGCCATCGAGTCAATTCCGACTCACAGGATGTTAATAGGGATTATAAAATGAAAAAAGGTCTTTAATAACAATACCTTGGTCAAATAAGACAAGAATAAGTTGAATTAAATTTAAACAGTTTCTTTATTGTGGGACTTTTCCAAATAATAATAAACAAAATTCACTAAGTGCTCACTCTGAGCCAGCCATGTTACAAGCTTTTACACACGTTATCCTTCTAATTGTGGTTAACTGCCCTCGAGTCTGAATTATGGTGACCCCATGCACAACAGGATAGAACCATTGTGATCCATAGGGTTTTCACTGGCTGATTTTTGGAAGTAGACCATCAAGACCTTCTTCCTAGCCTGACTTAGTCTGGAAACTCCAGTGAAACCTATTCAGCATCACAGTAATACACAAGCCTCCACTGACAGATGGCTGCACTTTAGGTGCACTGGCTGGGAATTGAACTGGGCCTCTCACTGAACCAATTAAGTGGATACTATTATTATCCCTGGAGCCCTGGTGGTGCAGTGGCTAAGAGCTTGGCTGCTAACCAAAAGGTCAGCAGTTCAAATCCACCAGCTGCTTGTTGGAAATCCTATGTGGCAGTTCTACCCTACCCTATAGGGTTGCTATGAGTTGGAATCAACTTGACAGCAACGGGTTTGGTTTTTTTGGTATTAGTATCCCCAGTTTACAAACGAGGAAACTGAGATTTAGCAAAGCTAATTAATTTGCTCAATGTTACACAGCCAGTAAATAACGGTCAGCCTATGATAATAACAGCCTATAGGTTGAATATAGGTTGAATTCAAAATAGATAAAATTCCAGTCAGCCCAATGATGTCAACTTTAAAATACTGGGAGATTTTATATAAAAGGGCCCTGTAGGCATTTAGTTTGAAACCTCTACACCATTGTATACAATAAAGCCTTTCACATGCAAATGAATACTGCCAATCTCCAACAGTGGAGAATTAGATGTAGTGTTTCCCAAAATTCTTTGAAAATGTTGAATTTTGGAAATGCTCATCTATAAGCACTTATACTTACTGTAACCATATAAGGGGATTTCATCTTTAGATAAAAACCAAAATGTGAATAAAGGAAATGGAAACTACTTACAAATATTAGTCCTGATATCAAAGATGATGTCCCTGTAAGTGCCACATAGAATTTGGGTGTCAAGGAATTTAAAAATACTGTCACTGTCAAAAGAAGAAAAAAAATTTAAAAATGCAATTTCAAACTATTTACGTTACAAATATGCAGGTGTCTTTATGAGTGGAAGGACATAAATAGTATTAATATCTAACATGAGATTCATTTGAGAAAATTGTAATTTTAAAAAAAAGATACTTTAAACTCCCATCATGTCATATCTTAAAAATGAATTCACATATGGAAAGGTAGGATTTTACACTATTGGTTTGTTAAATAAGCAGCAAATCAAAAAGAAATAACTTAGTTTGCTTTTGAGAATAAAACTAAGAACTTACCGGTCTGAATTTACACAGGAATTTTTGCAAATCTAAAGAAGCTAAATAAACATCCTTTTACAAAGGAGGTTTAAAAAACACTCCCTAGTTATTTTGGTAAAATACAAACCAGTGTTTCAATTTATAATGATAGAATTCTGACTTAATGAGGTCTGGAAACATATAAATTTGGTATGTCAGGTAGAGAGGCAAAACAGTTCACAAAGAAAAGCAACTAAAAAGTCTCTGCCCCAACTCATTGTGAAATCCTGAACCAGATTTTTCATTTCAAATAATATCTTATACTTTGGCTTTAAAAAGAAATAAAAATCTATAATAGTTAAATAGTCTCCTCTATAAGGTGTATATAGTGAATATGTGGAAAAATAAATTAATTCAATGAACTGGGTTTACAAACTACCATTAAACACTTCATTCACCTGGTACAGAGGATGAGAAATTTGCTCTTTCAAACAGTCTAGGAAGGCCAATTTATTTAGCCTGTTTTTGCATTAATTACATCTGAATTTACATAGTATCTTTCTTCTAAAAAGTCCAAAATATTTCAGATCATTATATCATGAAGATCTCATCTTTCATGTCATCTATAGTAAAGGGGACATTTGCCTTTTCTTGTTACAGAAAAATAAAGCTATGGTACTACTAGGCAAAGTCATCACATAACGAAAGTACTTCCGTCTTGTTCGGAGGTTGATCAGAGTTCGAGTGAAATATTGTAATGACATGGTAAGAGACCCTGGACCCCATCCACTTTGGCCTGGCTACAGCTAAAGAATAATATTTGCAGAATCCAAGGGGATCATCACTTCGTACATTTTTGTATCTTCAACCCATACTACATAGCAAGAGCTCCACACTTGTTGAAACAATGAACAAACTACCGATGTTTGTAGCTCTCTCTACTTCCTGTATTGTTTTATTAATCAAGATAAAGCCTACAACAAACAGTAAACAAAAATAGCATGAAACCCATTTCTTGACAGAACTATTTTTTCAAATAAGAGAGTGGTCGACTAAGAGGATCATGGTATGTTCTTTGAGATCTTTGAATACAGCACTGAAATGTTCATCTTTTTTGTCTGGGTGTGGATTATTTAAATTGGGCGTCAGGAGACTCAAAGGAATGACTTTCTAGGGACCCTACCAGTGGTGGGGGCGCACGTATATTCTGTATCCAAGTCTGAAAGTACTCTCTTCTGCCCTACCACCCGAAGCTCACAGCTTTTCCTTAGGTAACCAAGGACAGAAGAGAGGGCGGATCCTAAGAGCTCTAGGGAGGAGCCAGTAGCTGGAGCTCAGGTTTGACAATCAGCTGCGAGATTGAAGCCCAAGAGAAAAAGAACCCTCTTGGCCGCGTGTCACTCATTCTCCGAAGCCCTCCAGTGACTACCAAGGATTTGTACCCTTCGGCCCTTGCCCCCGGCACCTCTCCAAGCCCCCGCCTGTCCCCATGAAGGTCTGGGCCTCTCACCCGCTGCCAAGTTCTCACACAGCCTCAGCGGGACCCTCAGAGCGTAAAGCACACCCAGCCCCGCCACGAACCACAGCGAGGCCCCAGTCCCCGCCAGCCCGGCCCGCAGCCGCTCCCTCCAGCCCAGCGGCGGGCTCAGGCCCGGAGCTGGTGCGGGAGGAGATGCTGCAGCAGTCCCTGCTTCACTCAGGCCGTCACAGTCCGCCATCTTGCTGCTTCCGCAGGAGCCGGGCACGGGGAGGGAAGAAGGGCAGGAAACCGGGACTCGGGAATCCTGGGATAGTGGCGGACCTGAAGTTGGCCTGTGTGAAGGCAGAAGGTCCTAGGAAACTGGTACACAGATTTGGAAGGTGGAGGAACGTCCCGAGACCGGGGCTGCATATTCCTTCGGGGATAGGGGAGGGGCGGATAACGGCACCTATTCTGGAGGATATAGACTGAGATGTGATTCTGCAGTGTTTTTGCTTTCACACGAGGTGAGGGTCACCTTTCACTCCATTCCTGTAGTTGAAAAAGCCACCGATCATTCCAGAGGCCGAGCAGCATTTACCGCTTCTGACTTGGCTGCCATGGAGATCACCGGTACTGAGGAAATCCAGTAGGAGCAGCAACTGCTATTTGGTCGGATGGAACTTAGAGCTCATGCGCCAAGAGCAGTCGAAACACGCCCCCAGCGTCCAAAAAATGAATGAGGAAACGAACAGATCAATAAGAAAGCTGTTAGACTTAAAACCATTTAAGGCAAAGCCGACTCCCAGGGTTGTAGCGCTGGGAGCCATTACCCCGCCCGTAACTGACATGGCGCCCTCCCCTTCGGCGTTTCCGGGCGGAGGGTTCTGACCGCCCCCGCGGTGATTCCATCACTCAGCTTCCTTCCCGGCCTGCCTTGCGCCCGCGGCCGGGCTGGGCCAGAGCAGCCCAAGATGGCCGACTTCGAGGATCGGGTGTCTGATGAGGAGAAGGTAAGGGGTCCGCCTCTCTCTCTCCCTCTCTCTCTCTATCTCTCTCTTATCTCCTCCCCTGACAAGGAGCAGAGGCCCTACTCGGGTGAGGTGGGAACCCCGGCAGTGTCCCCAGGAAAAAAAAGATTCTTAGCTTGTGCTGGCACACGCTTTCCCCAGTTGGGACACTTCCTTCTCAAGGGGCTTCGCTTGGCCTCACGGTAGCCGCTGCTCCCCATTCTTCAACTCCCTTTTCCTCTCGGGCCTGAGGCACAGCCCGGTGGCCTTCCTGCGAGGGAAAAGACTTTCCCTTGTTGAGTCGTGACTGAGGACTTTTTCTATAATTATGGGAGGGGGCTGCAGTGATGTCGCGACGCGTCAGAAGGCAGTTGTTTTACTGCTTTTAGCTGTTGGGGTGCACCCCCCCCCCATTTTTAGATATGATTGGGGCTAGTTTAGGGCGAGTCACTTCCTGGTCAGGGTGGCCTCTTAACTTCGCTTTTGCTCCTCCTTGCTCAGGAAGTGATTTTGCTGTCACGACTTCTCGTCAGGGAGAGATCCCCATGTGTTGTCTGCCCAGTGCACTTAACACTATCTTTTTCTCGGTTTAACTCATTCGCCGTAATAAATGTGTAAATCTCAGGGCGTTTGCTTCAGAATCTGAACGCCTTTATCTTCCGCGTAGTTCTTCTCTTGATTCCATTTATATAGTACATTCTCTTAAAAATAATTTTCGAAAAAGAGTTTTCGGTATCGGACATTCGTGTTAACAAATCAAGAATAGGTAATGAATTTTTTTTTAAGCTCAGAAAGGTTTTATGTAGCACATAAACCTCATGTTATCGCATTCAAGTCTGAACAAAGCATCCTGCCTTTTTTATCTCATGCTCTACTGTGATGTCATTGATTGAAATTGAATTTGTCCGTGTGTAATTTGTGTACTTATTTCTTTAAAAGTGTCTTAGATAAAGAGCATATTCTCAATTAGGTGGGGTAACTTTTTTCTAACATCTGCTCACCTTGACTTTTTGCCAGACTTTTCAGTAAATCCGTGATTTTTAATGCATGTAGAAATTAGAATTATCTCATTAGATAACTTTTAGAGTATTGCTCAGAAGGACAAGAATCATATCTTTTGTTTCCCATGGTGGCTGTTACAAAGTATGCTCACTTGAGTGCCCTGTAAATGTGTCTGGGTTCTTCTTTTTTTAATACAAGAGATTAAAAGAGATTTGGATGGGGGTGGGGACTGTTTATAATCCAGGAGTCCTCCATACAGAATAATTTGATATACCTAAATATGGTGTGCCATTTTGAAATGCTGAAGGATGTGCTGAACACAAACCATTGCACTACACTTTAAGCATTAAATTTTATCTTATTTGGAAAGTGATTCTCATTAATGTTAATAAATAAAATTTAAGTGAAAAAGGCATTATATGTATGAATTTATGCCAGAGAGAAGCCATAATAAAATGTTTATTCTAAGGCAAATAAACAGATAAAACTAAATTACAGTGAAAAAATAGAATAACATATTTTTACCCAACTGATGATTCATTTAAGCAAAAATTTTTTGTAACAAAATTTCACTAAGAATTTAGATAACAGTAAACTTTGAAGTATGCACAAGTCTGAGTAAACTTTGAAGTTCGTTGTGGCGATGATACTTCATTTACCAGTGTTGTTGGGTTTTTGCCGTTGACACTAAGTCAGAATGCCTTTCTAATTAAACTTGGAAAAATATATATGTATTTCAAAGTGCAGAGTAAGATGCCTTTGGATATTAACAGTGTTTTAGTTAATAGTATCTGTTGTCTTAATTTTATAACAGCAGGTCTGTGACCAGTTTTCTTCTATCTCCCAGTATACTTCTGTGTTTAATTTTAATGACATAACAAGCAAATCATAATTAGGTAAATCTACTGGCAAAAATGTTGATGAATTTTATATTCAATAAACGGTTTTTAGATTAACCACATTGTCTTCATTGGTTTGGATAAGTAAGAATAGCTAATACAGTAAAAATCTCATATAACAAATCCATATGATTTGAAGATTACTGAATTTTGTTAAATCCTGTTTCCATACTGTGATGAAACTGATCCATCTCTCTCTGTTGTGAATCTGTAAATAAAATGAAAAGGTTTTGACTTGTAAGATTAATTAGTTCTCTTTCAGCTTCAAACCTACCTTCCCCCTTTTCCTCCAGGGTTCTGGTTCCTTTTCAATGAATTAAAGAATTGAGAAAGTGTGTTTCCAAAAAGACTTGTTGATACGACTGTTTTAGCATTTATAAATAATAAATAACCCTTAAAATGAGGTTTTTGTCCTGTCAGACTTTCACGACCAAGACACCGTTAAACACAAAGATATTTTGAGCCCTAGTTTATATCCTGGTTTTTCCTTGAGGGAATTCTAACATTTCCTTTTTTTTTTTTTCCCCTTTCTTCTCTGTCTTTTTAGTCAAACTGCATTTGATTTGGGTTTTTTTAAGGCATGTATGTCATGATGTCAAATATATTTTAATAGTGCTTTTTATCTTTGTTACATTTTGTGGAAGCAGCAAATCCTGAGGTGAATTTGTTGATGACAGTCTCTGATTTTCTTTCATGTGTTTCTGTGGAAGTTAATAAAGCTAACCATTCTTGTAACTAACTGCTGAAGTTTTTATCACTTTATGAAGAGGAAGTTGTTTTTTTGTTAACTTCTGCATTGTTACCTGAAATGGTCATGATGAGCTGTCTAAATAAACCAGGAAGTTGATAGTGTAATAACTTGCAGAAATAAATGCTTTTAGTCCTAGTCTAGGAGCCTTGGTGGTGCAGTGGTGTAAGCACTTGGCTGCTTAACCAAAAGTTGGCATTTGGAACCCACCAGCCGCTCCTCGGGAGAAAGATGTGGCAGTCTGCTTCCGTAAAGATTACAGCCTTCAAAGCTCTCTGGGGCAGTTCACTCTCTCCTTTAGGATCGCTGAGTTGGAATTGACTCCATGGCAACGGGTTTGGTTTGGTTTTAGTATTAGTTTTATCCTCAAAGAGGTAAAAAGTGAATAAAGCGATCGACTGCTAACTGAAAGCCTGCTCTGGAGGAGAAAGATGTGACAGTCTGCTCCGGTAAAGATTACAGCCTTGGAAACCCTGTGGGCAATTCTACTCTGTCCTATAGGGTCGCTGTGAGTCGGAATTCCACTTGATGGTAATCCTCGAGTTTACAATTTCTGAGAATGAGCTAGACTCTTCAGGTTACTAATTTTTTCAGTTATTTAGTTCTAAATGCTTAACAAGACCAAAGTGGCAAGATACCATAATTAGGAAGCTTGAAATATGAGATGAACTACTTGTTGGGGTTCTTTGCACCATTTCCTTTATTTCATGATTCAGCATTTTAAAAACAAATGCAAAGAAAATCTTGGGACTGGAAAAAAGTGTGGTTAGCATATTTTTCCCCCTTCAGCCTAACTAGTAAAGTAATTGTGTAAACCTTCAAAAATACTGTAACTGAGAAGTGGATCTGCATGCTTTAAGTTTAGACTCTTTGATACTTTTATGAGAAACAGGTTTATCAGAATTATTTAGATGAGTTGTAGAAAATGTGGTAGAATTTGAGGGCTAGGTGCCAGAATTTGAGGGCTCTATTAGAGTTCATGAAAAATATTTATACTTTTAAGCTGGATTTTCTTGATTATGTATTATGTACTTAATTTACTAGAGAATTTACTGCCCTCCTAGGGATTCAAGAATTCAGCAAGCCCTAAAATTTATTTGACTTGATTGTTTTCTGTTACAAATCTGTTAACAAAATCCTTGAACGGGGCATAAACCTTGAGCAGGTGTAAACTCAGATGCCTAATCCTTGGTTTGGAGTGTGGTTATCATAATTTCTTCCAGAATATCTAGCTGTTTTATTAGAATCATCCTTAATGCTATGCAGAGTCGTATAAATTTGTCAGAAAGTTTAAACCCAGGTTTGTTTAATTCTGAAGCCATGCTTTTTTTCACTACACTGTTTTTTTCTTGTAACTATGAATGAAAAACCAGAATTATAAATGAGGTATTGTGAGTAGTGGAAAGAATGATTCTGAGTATCAAGAAACTTGGCCCCTCCCTGCTAGGCTTTAGCTACCTGTGTGATTTTGGGAACTCTACCTCTCTGGGCCTGTTTCCTTCTAAAATAGGGAGATAGGGGAGTTGGATTGAACTGATTCAATAAAGTTTAATTAACTTAATCAAACTCTAATTAGGTTCTGTCATTGTTTGCTTTTTCTCATTTGCCCTGATAATGAGACTGTGAACTTCGGAACTGAAACCGTGTCTTTTTACCTAATGCTTAGCATAGCACCTGGTACATTGTGCAGGCACAGCCTATTGGTAAGAAAGAGATCACAGCTTCATTCATTCTCTTATTTCCCCAGCTCAGCCTCCCTCATCCCCTATAACACCACCTCTTCCTTCCGCCCCAAGTTGTTTCTGGTAATCTCTAGATACTTGTGTTTAGGAATATGTTCATACTCTGGGTGCCTCTCTTTGGGCATTCATTGTGTCTACTCAGCATCTGCTGCCATCACTGCTGCTCTGCCATGCCACTGCAGGGAGAATTCGTCTCCTCTGGGAGCATTTTCTTAGTTGATCTTACAAAGCTGCAAAGCCTTATGAATACCAGAATGACTATGTGTATATACTTTGAGCCTTGCAAAACTCCTAATGAAAGTATTTCCTTCATCTGCTGTAAGTCTTCTTTAGAGCTCAGAAACACACACACACACACACACACACACACACACACAAGGTATCATTTGTTTTTCTTTTCTCACTTCAGTGCACAGACTTCTCTTTCCTCCTTGCCAAAAAAAAAAAAAGGTTAAAGTTCTTAGACAGATCAGCTCATGAGAACTAAAACCCTTTATAGAGAAAATTGTCCTTGGGTGGCACAAACAGTTAATGTGCTTTGTTGCTGACTGAGGGGTTGGAGGTTCCAGTCCATCTAGAGACTTCTGAGAAGAAAGACCTGGCAGTCTACTT